GAAAACAGAGGAAATTAAGATAGTATGCATGAGATGGGTTTTGGGTTACAAATACATTTTACAAATGGAGTAATTTTATCTATATATGTCTAAGGAGCCTAGATTTATGTTAATACTGTGTAGGGCTTGAATAGACTGAAACAGCCATCTAAATAACTTTTTGTATGTTTGACTCATAGTAAATTATCATAGTTACCTCAGCAACTCACTGCAATCACCAACCTGGGTCTGTTGCACGCTGCCAGGAAAAGACAGACTTGAATCTTTGACTATATTCTGAGAAAATGGGACAAAATATCTTTTGCACAGGACACAGGAATGACTTGAGGGGGTATTAGAAAGAAGATAGAATGTAAAACGGGACTGGGTAAAAGATTGGTGATTAATGAGGAGCCTCAGAGAACATGTAATCACAGAAAGATAGGCCTGGGATGGATCTTGATTGGTCATCTCATCCATCCTCCAATTCCAACATCAGATCAATAGTACTTACTACTTGTCCAGTACATACTTATAGACATCCAGTAATGGAGACAAAACTGTACTCTCAGCAACATAACGCTATGCCTCACTAATGTTACCATTAAAAAAGATTTTCTTCCGTGATGAAATTTAAGTCCATTACAGCTTACTTTATCTACCAAGAATAGATCATTCCCTTCCTCTCTCAATGGCTTTTTAAGCACATGAAGACTCTTAGCATGTTTCCCTTGCTCTCTCTACCCAGCATCTCCAGCCCCTTTGGTCTCCCCAGCCCTCTGCTCACTGTTACTGCCACCTGCACTATCTCCTGTTGGTTCACAATCTTCTGGGCTCTGGTGCACAAACCCAGCTCTGTTACTGATCTCCTACAACACTTCACTGAGCATGGATCTCTTCCTTCATGCATATCTGCCTGAGATTTTTGCTGTTTCCCCACAAACACGTGTTGTTGATTCAAATTCAGCGGCTTACAGTCAACTCCACACTTCTTTTTCACCTGTTGCTCCTATCCCTGAGTTTGTCTGATTTTTAACACCTGTCCAAGTTCGACAGTCTGCTTTTGTCCCCCAAGGTTATGCCTTGTTTCCTGGACCAGATTTGTGCTTGTCAAGACCTAAGCATCCTCCTCCAGCATGTCTGCGTTTCCTCCCAGAACGGAGCAGAACCAGGTTTGGACTGCTGGAGGATCCTACAGGGTGCATCCATTCTGCCACAACCCCCCACACCCACACTACAGAAATGATACCCAACCAGTTCAGTCCTGGTTTCACAGCAGCTCTACACAGAGCCTGTTTCCCTGAGCACACTGAGATACAGCATCAAACAACGTGACATTACATTTTCGCATGACTCAGTTGCCGTGGTAACATAAATTAACAAAACGTACATTGTCGTAGCAGCTTTGTCACAAAGTATGTAGGCTTTTCTACGCAAATCACAGCAGAAGCAGCACAAGGTTCTGAGCTGGAAAAGTAACTGGACAAAATGTGATGGCTGAAAAGAGAAAATAATGTCAGTGGGAGGTTAAAGTGAGAGCTGATGAAACAACTCCACGTGTTAAGGACGTCAGTTTGAAAACAGGGACTGTAACGGGGTGAGGGTGTACTTGCAAAAGGTACTCAGAAGATTGAAGAACGTTGCCAGTAGGTAGCAAACTTAATAATAGAGTCTTAGAGAAAACCACCAGTTAGAAGGTAAAGGCAACAAGCACTCAGTCATTCTGCTGAAATCCATTATCTTTTCCAGCATGCCTGATGTGAATGAGCCAGCAAGGGAGCACTGAGCAGGGGCTACCTGAGAGAAGTGGGTTCTGCAGAGGAATGCATGATACACAGCTTTCCCAGTCCAAGATGCTTCACTGCCCTGGGCTGCCAAGCAGGGCAGCTTGCTGGACAACTACAGGAAAAGAAAAGGCATTCTCCATGCATAAACAGCACGAAGAAAATAACACAAGTTGTGAAAACCATTTGTAGATAGTAAGAGGAGGGCAGAAAGAGCAGACTAAACATCCAGCATAACTGAGAAGGTAAAGAAACTTTGAAATGTGCATTTCTTCAACTTAAAACAACAACAACAAACCAACAGAAGAGGCAGTTGAAATGCAAAGTTGCAAAGCAAGTCTGATTTACCAGCTTCATAAAGAAGATAGAAGGGAAATCAAAGTTCATATGTACGGGAGGACGAATGGTTGTAAGAGAAAAAGTACTGCTTGCAAACTTATCTGATTCTGTATTATTACACTGTACTGTCAGTTATAAATTACAATTTTTTCCTTCATTTCCTTACCAGAAAAGGGTTGTGCAACATATGAAAGTCCCAGACAAGCCACTGAAATCCTGAATTTCTGCAAAATCTGAAGAACAGAGATATGGGAAAGCTGTGAACATGCAATGGTGAACAAAATGGCGGGGCAAAGAGAGGTGTGGGGAGTTTTGGATGTAGAAGATGTCCTGACCTGACTGTCCTATTGAGAGAAGACCAGCAGCTCCTGCGATTCTCTCTTGAAGGTACCACTGCTGCATTAAGGGTTTGTGATCACAAGACTGAAAAGTCTTTGATTCTGACTCCCACGCTTCTATTTTAATTTGGAAGCAATTTGCTACTAAAGTCAATGGAGAGGAAATGGGGCTTTGCCAATGAGCAATGCAGTGACATCAAGCAGCTCATTTCATTTAAGCTCATATTTGAGCAAACAACCCATGCTTATAATAAATTTTAATCAATTACAAAGGTACTATGGGTTACATAACTTGAATCAGGAGATGGGGTCCAAAAGATCCCTTAGACTGGGATCTCACTGGGACCTCACTGGGAGCTATAGTTTATAGGAAAAAAAGTTAATGTGAAACTCTCTTGTGACTGAAAGTACTGCAGAAATCAATTCCACTCTCTCTCTTATTCTTGTAATTGCAAACCATTTTCTGCAGCACCGCAGTGCTTTCAACTGACTCATACACTCCTCAGTCACCGGCAAGGGCTCCCATAATCAGCAGCAAAGTAGCAATGCAAGTGTCTTAATTCTTTACTCCTCCTTTCACTGGTTTCCTCTTCCAAATTAATATACTTTGTTACATTTGGACAACACTCTGATATTTCTGAAGTAGCATCAACACATCTGGGACTAAGGGTACAAACACTTTCAATTTTGTTAGTAGTGGTCTCAAAAGCTTTCTGCACAGTAACGAAGCAGAGAAAGCTACCACTGTGCACTGAACACTGTGAAATCATGCTTATGCAAACTCAGCATGAGACATACTCAGAAACTGAACAGATCCTGTATTGAATCATAGAATCATAGAATGGCTTGGGTTGGAAGTGACATCAAAGATCATTTGTTTCCAGCCTCTCTACCATGGACTGGAGGCCACTCACAAGATTAGGCTGCTGAGGGCCACATCCAACCTGGCCTTGAACACCCCAGGGACGGAGCTTACAACTTCTCTGGGCAGCCTATCCCAGCACTTCACAGTTTCCTGAGTGAAGAATTTCTTCTTAATATCATTTCCCCTGTTTTAGTTTAAAGGCATTCCCCCTCGTCCTATCACTATTAGACTGTATAAAGTTGGTCTCCTCACTGGCTATAGGATCCCTTCAAGTACAGGAAGGCCACAATGAGGTCTCCCTAGAACCTTCTCCAAGCCAAACAAGCTCAACTCCCTCAAACTTTCTTCATAGGAGAGTGCTCCAGACTGTGTCCATCTTCATGGCCCTCCCCTGGACCATCTCCAACAGCTCCACATTCTTCCTGTACTGGGGGCCCCAGGCCTGGGCACAGTCCTCCAGGTGGGCCCTCATGAGGGCAGAGTAGAGGATGGTAGGGTGGAGTTCTTTACTATGAGAGTGGTGAGGCTATGCAGAGAGGCATCCCTCGTGTTCAAGGCCAGACTGGACAGGGCCCTGGGCAGCCTGGTCTAGTATTAAATGGGGAGGTTGGTAGCCCTGCATGTGGCAGAGGGGTTAGAGATTCATGATCTTTGAAGTTCCTTTCAACCCTGGTCATTCTGTGATTCTGTGATCTGTGATTGTTGCTGTTCTGGGCTGCAAGCACACACTGCTGATTCATGCCCAGCTTTCTGTCCATCAGGACCCCTAAGTCCTTCTCTGCAGGGCTGCTCTCAATGAGTTCTCCCAGTCTGTACTTGTATCAGGGATAGCCTTGACCCATATGTAATACCCTGTATTTACTTGTTCAACATCATCCGGTTCTCATAGGCCCACTTTTCAAGAATGTCCAGGTCCCTCTGGATAGCATCACTTCCTCCTATTCTGTCAATTGTAGCACTCAGCATGGTGCCATCAAACTTGTTGAGGGTACACCCAATCCCACCACTGATGTTGTTGATAAAACCACTGAAGTGTACCAGTCCCAAAATGGACCCCTGGAGGACACCACTCATGACCGGCCTCCAACTAGGCACAGAGCCTTGGACCACAACCCCTCTGTCTATGTCCATGGACCACTTTCATCCACCAGTGCCATCAGTCCATCACAGAAAACTGACTGACAGGTCAGGCAAATCGAGTGAGATGACCTGACAAACTTACAGGTCATGTCATGAGGGTTTACTGAAACATATACAGGAAAGTGACACAGTCTGTTCCTCCAGAATCTTCTGTGCAAGTAAATTTATCATATTTTATATTTTATCAGAATACTTGCAGAATAGCTGTACAGGCTTGTATTTCTGTACAGGATTTATCACATGCAGAATTCAGAAATTTAGCCCATTTTCTGCTGGGAACCTGAAAAAATCTTTACGAACTGCAGTAGCAGAGCATCAGAGACCAGCAGAGCTGTTCACACGAGGAGCCCGCGAGCAGCTTTGTGTCACACCCCGGCCATGCTCAGCCGGCAAACCTCAAGCCCGGCCCCGGATTTCATTCATGTCTCCAACCACCTCCTGGCACTCAGCCACGGCCGCACGCACACGGGCGGCTCCGTAGGATGGCGCGAGGGAGATTACTTCATCTCCACAAAAGTAACAGCGAGGTGGGAGGAAACCTCCCATAATTAGAGCATGGGACGGAAATTAAGGTTTCTACTAAGTCTGAGGCTGAGTCGGGTTGTGATCTGTGACAAGGAGCTCTCCGGTCTCCGTTTCTCCATCTGTAAAGACAAGAACAGTAAGGTACGAGGAGACTTCAACAGCAAACGTTTGTAAGCACGCAGAGATTTCCTCTGAGGGCGGCAGGGCGGGCCGGCAGGACCCACGCCCAGGCCGCAGCCGGCCCGTTTCGGCACGGCGCGGCCCCGCCAGCACACAGCCGAGCTGGGGACGCCGCGGCTCTCCACGAGCGTCACCGCGGCCCCGCGCAGCGGCGGAGGGCGGGCGGCGGGGAAGGCCGCAGCGCGGCGGGCAGCGCGGGCCGGGCGGGCACCGCGCGGAGCCCGTCGCCGATTCGGGGCGTCCCGGCAGCAGGTGCGGCCCGGCCCGCCTAGCGGAGGAGGAGGGGACGAGGAGGATCCGGGCGAGCCGAGCCCAGGGCCGCCGCGCCGCGGGCATGAAACGGGCGGCAGCCGCGCCCTTGGGCGGCGGGCGAGGTGACGGCGACCTTGCCGCCGTTCCTCCGGCCGTAACGCGGGGGCGGGCCGCCCTCCTCCGCCGGCGGCCTGCAGGTGGGTGTCGGGGTAGGACCTCGGGAGAAGGGGGGGGGAAAGGCGGCGGCCCGCCTCGGTGACGCCCATCGCCGGGGCCGGGCCGGCGCGCGGGTAAACACGGCCCGCGGCGGGGCCGTGCCGGCCCTGCCCGCCCCCCGCGCCTCCCCGAGGTCGCCCGGCGGAGCGCGCCCCGGCGCCGGAGGCCGCGGTGCGGCTGGTAGGACGAGGCGCCGGCGCCGCTCGGTGTTTCACGCGGAGGTACGAGCCGGCCCTGCCTCCCGCCCCGCGGGCCGCCCGCGCCGCCCTCCGGGACCGCGCGCCGCGGAAACTTATCCCTTCTCTTCGGCGGTGCAGGGAAGCGGCCCGGCAGCCCCGCGGACCACCCGGCGCCGCTCCGCCCCGCTGAGGAACTTGGGAGGGAGTCGGAAAGTTGGCTCAGGTACCGCGCCCGTCCTGCCGGGAGCCGCTGCTTTTTGTGTCGCGGTCGTTTGCGGTTCTGCTCCGCGGGTGCGAGCGCGGCGCGGGCGGGGAGCCCTCAGAGCGCCGCCCGAGTCCGGGTCTGCGGACAGGTGGGACTGGGAGCGGGCGCGGACGGCGCCGTGCGTTGCGCTGACCGCCCGGCGCTGCTCTCCGGGGAGCAAAGCGGCGCTAGGAACGCTGGCGCTGGTGGCTGGGCAGCTCGGGGCGGGCCCGGCGGCACGCGTGGGGCGGTGGTGCCAAAACGCGGCGGGCGAACCCAGCCTGCTCAGCAGCGCGTTGCTTTAACGGGAGGTGTGTTGCTGTGTGTTGTGCCGTTGCCGTGTCCCGTCCTCTTGGTCTGCGAGGAGCGGAGGTGTCATTCCTAACTGGGGGATTCTGGAGTTACGCAGTTAGTAGTTAATGTGCTTCAGAAGGCGCTGGGTGCATGGCACGGTCTTCTCAGCGGGAGGGAGAATAAACCATACATGTATGTGTGGGTTCACAAAACGGGACGGCGCTCCCTCTGCCACTGTTTCTGTGCCACCCAGCATAGAGCAATCCGATGAGTTCGCTCTATCCAGGACAGCCTTAGATCTTGATGAATAGTCTTGGTTTGTGTGGTGATGCTCTGAGGTGAGCTTCTACCCCAGCAAAGTGTAGTGTAGCAAACGAAGTGAAGTTCTTGCATGCTGTCATGTTAAAGACAATTTGTTCTCTCAGTACAAAGTTTGCTGCTGTTTCAGTATGCTTACTTTACTTCCATAGATAGGTGGTTTTGTATTTTCTCTCTCTTGCCTCTCTATCTTTTTTTATTTACCAGAACAGTGTTGAGAAACCCAGAACTATTACTTTCTTCTAATGAAGATGGCTGAACTAATCACAGATATCCCAACTCTTCACAGACCTTGCTATGTCTCTGGTTTCTGCCCAGTGGAGCTGCTCTGCTCTCACCTCACAAAACATCTATAGGGCAGCAGTCACTTGGCAGTCTTAGAATAAACATTCCCATTCCTAATCCTTTAGATAATTCTTAAGAGGTCCTGATAGGCAGAGATCCATAGAAACTACTTTTAGGCATCGTCCAACTTAATAAGCTTTGAAGAAATGTAGTCTTAGGATGTAAATGCGAAGAGAAGTGGAGTTTATTTGAGGTATGCAATTTCAAAACAAACCTATACACTCAACCAGACGGAGCATGAAGGATTATCCAGACCTGACTCATCTGTGTAGATTGTGCACTTTAGGCTGAATGTTGAGCTGAGTGATTTCACTGCTCGCTTTGCTGGGTTGTACCAGTTTTTAAACATGTTATTGGTATTCCAGAGCTGTTTTTCTTGGAAAGAAACTAGGCTAGCAGTGGATGAGACTTGCAAAGATTGAAGACTTAGTTCAATAGTTGATGAAACTGTCTGCTGTTCAATTTTAAATAGGTAGGTCAAAAGCATTGCAAAGTTTTCTCTACTGTCATCTTGCATATCCTACATGCAGCTGAAAATATTCTTGAAGTGAACTGGAGCAAGACAAGTAAAAGTCACCTTGAGCCGAAATGAGGAACTCGCTTGACCCAGGTTGTTTCCTGTGCTCAGAAATGGCTGTGCACCAGCAGCTCTGTGCTTAGGAGCAGGGGTATGTGCTGCTTAGGGCAGCTTCTTACATTACTGTCATCATTGAGTCTTGTTCAGTATTTTCTGCATCAGATCCCTAGCTTCTGGCTTGAACAAGTATGAAGAAATAATAATTTAAAAAAAAATAAAATCTACCCTCCCATGCTTCCCATCTGTGGAGATTTTTCACTGGTTACACTTTCTTTTTTAATTACAGCAGATCCTAATCTAATTTTTTTTTTCCAGCCTCAGCTTCCAGCCCCAGATCTCCTCTTAGTCTGTACTTTAATTTATTCTTAAAAGCTGAAATAATTGAAAAAGAACAACAATAGTCAGAGGGAAGGAGTTGGGGGGTGGGGAGGGGTTTACAGTAATTAAAGTGATGGCTGGAAAACAAGTGAGGTTATGATGTAAAACTGAACCTTTTTCCTGTTCTGTAAATATTATTCTGCTGCTTTTGCTGTTCTGTGAAGCAGTGTCCCACATGCAGCTAGGAAGTAGTGCAAAGGGGTTTTTGTGATCGGGGTTTTTTTCTTAAAGTTATTCAAGATATTTCCTCATTCACTCATTTCCGTCGTGTTTGTTGCCAAGGCAGCTGGCCAGTGGCCTTATTAGCCATGAGGTGGTTACGCTTCTTGTTTGTGTGGTACTGGAAACTACACTGGAGGTACCAGAAGCAGCAGATGTTGCACACTGAACCTTAGTGAGTGGTTTCTGTGAAAAGAATGAAATGTTTCTGTCCTTGGACTGAATTGTTGTGTAGTTATGCATTATATTGCTTGTTATGTGCTGTATAGCTATGTTTAAAATGCCTCCTGTCTTCCAGCACACTAAATATTTACAGTGAGCATACGACCACTGCCATATGTTTGGAGTGAGTAACCCATTAATTGAACCAGCCCAATTTTATGCTCAGAATTCTCACTTATTTCATTTCAGTTACTAAATTGCATGTTAAAAGCAGTGTATGACAACGGCAGAGATAGGATGGCAAAACAAGAAGTGGAGTCATTTTTCATACCTCCTGGTCATTTCCAGTTAGCACACAGATAGAAAATCAATTGTAATCTGCTTATAATTGCCTTCCTGGTAGAATTATGAGACATTTCTCTCTCGAATTTTACTTCTCTTTTCCCCCTTCCTTCTGCTTTAATTCCCCTGCTGTTTTTCCTCTATATGTCATGTGGAATAGGAGTTTGAGAGGGGAGGTATGGATGGATGTTTTTCTGTGTAAAGCTGTGCATTTTCACATATTGCTGCGGAGCAGCTTGAGACTGTCAAAAGGCATGTTCCACACTGTGGTATTGATGAGCAGAAGTTGCTGAAGGTTTTCCTAACCTTGGGGCTTTGTGCTTAGATGAACAAGGCATTGCTCTCTTTACCTGTTTCCATATTGATTATTTCAGGCTAGATCACATTTCTTGTATAAGGCTGAGCTCATCCAACCAAAAATTCAGATTGCATTTTGCTTACTGAAGTGCTCGACTCTGCACCTGACACTTCCACTCTGCAAGGATGCTTTGCCCCCAAGTTCAGGAATTACTTAAACATTTTGATAAACTCTAGCTCCTTTCATTCTTGAATGCTGGAATGCTGCAGAATTCAAGTGTTCTGAAAGAGTAGTTGGGTTTTCAGCCCTGGACTGCTACAGTCCCATCTGGAAAGGTGTAGATGACCATTCTGAAGCTTGAGGGAGAAGAAAAACATCTCTCCTTCTGCGGCTGCTGGCTGTGTTCTGCCAGGCTCTCCTCGCACTCTGCCTGGCTGTTGTAAGGCTGTTTTCTCTTGATTTATGACACCAGTGTTGCACTCTGGGTTTCACATACATCAGCCTCCTCCCTGCCAGGGGAGATGTCTGTTTATGTGTACCTATGTGTGTATGTGCACACAGATGAACAAAAAAAATGCTACAGGGGTCTCTTGACCTTTAAATGTAGAAAGGTTATATGATGAGACTCAGGAAATGCCGCTCCCAATACCTTTGAGCCCAAAGTATTCTGGGGCTAAAGCAGAAATGGGGTCTGAGTTCTTTTAGGATAAATACATGTAAAACTTCTACAAGATTGTACAAACTGTTTAACACACATTCTTATAAAATGTGGTTTTCTTGAGGGTGGGTAGAGAGAAAACAAAAGCCGTGTTTGGAAGGAGAGGTTTTGCTTAAGTGGAAGTTGGTATTTTGAGAGAAGTGAGGAAGAGACAGCACAACACTAAGTGGTTGGGAGTGAAGGAGAGTTTAAAGGTCATTAGTAATCCTCCCAGTGGAAGAAATACAGTAATTTCTTTTGGTATGAAAGGAATGTCTTAGGAGGAGGTTGGAAGTTACAGAGTAGTGCCCAAGACTGGGGAAGTGAGTGAAGCTGAGCAGTAAGCGTGCCTCTGCTGCTACTGTGAGTACCTGGCAAGCAGTCTGCACGCTGCGGGCAGCGAGGGCTCTGAGGCTGGAAAGAGTCTGAAACCCTTGAGT